TGGCATATGCCAATTCCATCATTTGCTGAATATTATCACCCGTGTATTCTATGCCATTCTGCTATCACGCTACGTCGTGAATAAGGCGTTCATGCCGGCGTTCTCAGCGCCTTGATGGCCATCTGGCAGGAGCGAAGCATCGCGATCTTTTTGATAGTGACTTGAATGATTTCATTCTGATATATGCCCGGCCAAAGGTTGAAGATCTCATTGTTTTCACCCTCCTCACATCCTAAAGTGAAGTCTTCATATCCTAAATCCCAACATCTCACTCTCTGGCCATCGATCCTTCCTGCTACTTCTGCTGCTTCTGCTGCTCCTTCTCCAAAGCTACGCAGCCGATTTCTAGATCACTCCCTCACTCTGGAGGCTATATAAACCCACCTCTCGACCCTCTAGCCTCCAGGTCTTCTTCTTCTCCTCCACACACACTCACATCGCAATAAGATCTTGCTTACCCAAACAATCAATCAATCACAATCACACACTTCATTCAACTTCAACTTTCAACTCAGGTAAGTCTGCAACATATTCATGTTTGACACACCTCACATCTCTGCACATACACCACCGAGATACACCCACACGTATGATTTTGCTGCCATATCTTCCTTCCCAAACCCACATGCTGCCTCCTTCCTCCTAGTAAAAAGTCTGGAAATATCCTCCAGCGGATCTACAAAAGGCCTTTCCCTTCTCTCCATTCAACTTCTTCTTCTTCTTCTTCTTCTTCCTCCACACATCACTATACTTTCTACAACCCAGCCTCACTGCCAACCTACTTCAACACAGACAAGGTACCTTGCCCTACCCATACATCTAACCTACCTAAGGTACCTCTCCGAAGGTATCTCTGGACAAAGGTACAAGTTCCCAGCGCTCCTGCTCTCGAAATTCGTTCATTCTCCTCAAATTCCTTCCTTCCTTCCAGGTCACCCATTCTTGACTACCTCCTTCCTCAAACGCCTTTGACAGTTGCCGACCTAGGCAGCTACAAAAAGGGCCCTCTTCCTCTTTTCCCTCTTTTACCCTCTTCTTCCTCTTCATCTACCTCTCAACATCGTCTACCTCTCAACCTCGTCTACCTCAGCGAGCATCATACATACATTCACTGACCACAAACAGCAACATCTGCACAGCAATTCCACAATCTCCACGACTAGACAGGATGTCTTCCGGTTCCCCTAGCCGTGGTGGCCCTGCCAGCCCTGCCAGATCCCGCTCGGGATCTCAGCCTAAGCATGGCTTCGGACCTTCCATGGGGTTCGACCCAGCGAAGCCCGAGGGCGGTGGTCCCAGCAAGGATCACGTCAACTCTCGTATCGACCCGCCCCCGGAGTCGTACCTAAATGCCGGGGAGACTCCCTTCATTCGCAGACCCGGTTACAATACCTCTGGCAAGATTATCAACTTGGAGGTCAACCAGTTCCGCGTGAAGCAGTGGAACGACAGGATGACCATCTATCAGTACGATGTGTCGATCTCGCCCGTGCCCCTGAAGTACAACGTGGTGTTCAAGAAGGTTTGGGACTCTCCGCCTGTCCAAACCATGCTGGCGAAGTACAAGACCCTCTGGTTGAACGATGGCCGCAAGTTGGCTTGGTACGTCATCCTATTCTGAATGCCTATCTCCTCTAACACAAGTTCAGGTCGTCGGTTCCTATCAACCGTGGCGAGGAGCGCTTGAAGGTTGACCTTGACGAGGGCAAGCCCGTTCGTCCCAATGCAAAGCCGCGCGACAATTCCTTCTTCTTCGTCATGAAGGAGACGAAGAAGATCAACCTGGCGGCTCTTGAGGCATACCTAACCGGCAAGATGGACTGGGACAGCACTGTTCTGGAGTGCATGAACTTCCTCGACCACCTAGTCCGCCAATTCCCTAGCGAGAATCTTCTCTCGATCAAGCGCAATTTCTACAACGAGCGCAATCCGCAGACCATGGATCTTGGCCCCTGCTTGCAGGTCGTCAAGGGTGTCTACTCGTCGGTCCGGATGAACCAATCGGTTATTGACAAGTTTGGTCGAGGGCTCGGTCTGAATGTCGACGTTGCCAACACGGCATTCTGGAAGGGAGACAAGCTGTTGCATCTCTTCGTCAGGGACTTTCTGGGTACCTGCGATCGCAGATGGCAGGGCTTGAGCCCGCCGGACATCGCCAAGATCTTGAAGCCAGTGCGCCAGCAGGACAAGAACGGCAAGACGGTACTCACGATGTCAGATGCCTTCAAGCACCTGAGGAAGCTGGCGAAGCTTCGATTCTGCCCCAAGCACCGCGGCAAGGAGAACTGGGACAAGTCCTACACCATCAAGGGGTTCGCATTCAACCCAACCTACGGTGATAGCGGTGCTACTACTGACAGTATCGTCTTCACGAACAACGGCGAGGAAATGAACATTACGAAGTACTTCGACAAGACCTACGGTTACAAGGTTCTGTTCCGTGACTGGCCCGTTGTCGAGACCGCAAAGGCGGGCTTCTTCCCCATGGAGGTTTGTGTGGTCGCTGCTATGCAGCGCTACAACTACAAGCTTGACCCTGATCAGACCTCGGCAATGATCAAGGCTGCTGTCACTCGTCCCACCCAGCGCAAGGCGGACATCATCAAGGCGAAGAACCAGTTAGCATGGAAGGAGGACCCCTATCTCCGCCAGTACGGTGTTGTCTTCGAGGACCAGATGGCTAAAACTATGGGCAGCTTGCTTGAGCCCCCGAAGATTCAGTACGCTAACAATGTGGTCAGCCCCGTCTTCTCTGGTCGCTGGGACTTGCGCGGCAAGAAGTTTTGGGTTCCCAACCGTGCTCCTTTAGCATCCTGGGGTATCGTGATTCTCGAGAACTCAACCAACAAAGCCAGTGCTCAGGCCTTTGCACAGACATTCAAGCAGACTTACACTGGCCATGGAGGCAAGATTACTAAAGATGCCGTCGTGATTGACAGCGAGGCCCGTAACAACAATGTGGCTGAAGCAATTGCTAGGGCATATGCCCAGGTTAAGGCGAAGACCAATGCTATTCCGCAGCTACTCTTCTGCATCTTGCGGTTCAACAACGTTGGCTCTTACGAGCGAATCAAGAAATCCGCCGATTGTCGATTCGGCTTGCTTACTCAGTGCGTTCTTTCACGCCACGTTGACAAGAACCAGGCCCAGTACCATTCAAATGTGGCTATGAAGGTCAACGCGAAGCTTGGAGGCGTTACCTGCCGTATCCCTCACCCGTCCGGTCCTTCTAACAAGAACCCTCCTTTCTTTAAGGAAGTCACTATGATGATTGGAGTGGACGTTTCCCACGCAACTCCTGGAATCGACGCTCCCTCGATGGCAGCGATGACCATGTCGATGGATGCTGACGCTACTTTCTACTCGGCTGCTGTTGAGACCAACGGCTACCGCGTTGAGATGCTCTCTCCAGTCAGTGCCCGCACTTTCCTTGGTCGTCTCATGCCCACCTGGCACAAGCGTATGGGCCACCCTGCGCCTCCTCCCCACATTGTCTACTTCCGTGACGGTGTCTCTGAGGGCCAGTACTCACAGGTGTTGGAGTACGAGGTGGGAACGATGAAGAACATCATCAAGAACATCTACCCCACCGCCAAGCAGCCCAAGTGGACGGTCATTGTGGCTACAAAGCGCCATCATATTCGATTCTTCCCTCAGAATGGAGACAAGAACGGCAACCCTCTTCCCGGAACTGTCCTTGAGAAGGAGGTCTGCCACCCTTTCTGGTGGGACTTCTACATGTGCTCGCACGTGGCCATTCAGGGAACTGCTCGCCCTGTCCACTACACCGTTCTGGTGGACGAGGCGAAGATGGGCACGAATGATCTTCAGCGCATGATCTATGGCCAGTGCTACCAGTACGCTCGCTCGACGACCCCTGTCTCCCTTCACCCGGCGATCTACTACGCTGATCTCGCCTGTGGTCGTGCTCGCGCACACGAGAACATTGCTACCTCTCAGGGCTTCCGCTCCGGCCCCAAGGCGACGGAAATGGCTGACGATTACGGCTCCCGCGGTCTTAGCATGTTCGAGGGCGAGCGTCCCACCGAGTCCCTTCCCCTGCTGCCTCTTGGTGGCAGTGGCCCTGACTCTGACCCCCAGGCATCTGACATGTTCAAGAACACCATGTGGTACATCTGAGTACGCATATCAGAGATTCCAATGGGCGACGACTGAAGGAAATGCGATGGAGTGAGTGGTGATGATGGGAGAGGCAAGCATGGATAGTTGGCAGTTGAGGGAGGATTGCGGGAGAATGAAGTTACTAGTTCCGGGTCAGTCAGGAGGATTGGCCTCAATCGAGCGAAAGTAGATAGGATTACCTGGGTGAGCAGGCCCTGCTCTGCCGAGCCTAGATAGCGAACGTTACCATTCACCAATTGCAGAGACCTTTCATGGTGATTGTGAGTTGTTGTTCCTCAGCAAAATCTGACAATCAGACTTAAGATGGAAGCTTGCTGATGCTAATGTCAACGGCAAGCCTAGCATCAACCATATCCAAAGCCACACACACACGCGCGCAATGTAAGAAGAGACTGGTTTATGTACGATTTCTTGATTTCTTGGTATAGTAAGTAGTACATGACCCTCGTAGACCGACGCTGAACAACATCCATCCCTACAAGTTTGTAGTTGGGAAAACCCGATCAAAACGCTTCCCCTCCTTTCCCACCCTATAGGTAAGTACCTTACGCGATACGAACAATTTTGAAGCAAATGCCACCTTGTTCCCGTCCCCGTCTCCGTTCCCACATACACAACATCGATGGCTTCTCGGATGGCTTCCGACGCGACGTGTGTTCGACAGGGCTCCACATGAGCTCTCCGCTTTCTTCCACGGAAGCTTCGTCCCGAATGACATCAATGCAACCACTTCAACTCCACCCCCGCCATTGCAAATCCACCTCCACCTTTCCGATCGCTCGGCACATTATAGCCCGCGAATCGAGCGGATTGGCTTTCTGATAGCAGTTATACGACATCACTGAAAGCAGATACACTTATTTCGCAGTGACGGTAACGCTGGGAATCGAGAGGTTCTCGCCCTTGCCCGAGGCGATGGGCATCTCGCGAGCCTTCTCATCCGAGCCAAAGTTGGAGCTCGCGCGCCGGCTAAGCGTGAGGCCTGACGTGGAACGGGCGCCCGGGCCGTAGTTGATGTTGCTCGCCTTGTCGAGCGTCTCCTTGCACATGCGCAGGAACACGGCGCCGAGTTCGGGTCGGTGCAGAGGGATCAAGCTGAAGAACAGGGAGGCGGTGATACGGAAGAGGGTCTTGCGGTGCAGGCGCACAGAATATGTCTCCTCGAGGAAGGTGAAGAAGTGCTCCTGGAGGCTCTCGAGGAGGTCTGAGTCGGCCTCGTCGAGGAGGGGCTTGTCACTGTCGAGAGCGTCGCGCAAGTCATAGTTGTTCGCGCTCATAAACAGGATGTGGTCGTAACCGCAGAGAGACTGGAGGACCTTGCCCAAGTCGTAGTGGATGTCACCCTCGGGCGTCAGAGTGTTCTCCAGCTGGCAGCGCACATCGATGAAGCTGACGAGCTTTTCGTCCTTGGAAAGAATGGCGTTGCTGAAGACCGGGTCACCGTGAATGACCTGCGCGTGAACACCCTTCTCCTCAGCCTCGTACGTGTCGAGGAACTCGTTGATACGGGCGAAGAGGGAGGCAGCAAGGGGACCAAGTGCATCGTACTTGTGCTGGTCCTTGTAGTAACGGCTGCGCAGCTTCGAGCCGTAGTTTGCGTAGATGTTGACGCGGTTGTTCGCCCGCGCGAGGGAGTGCTCCTCGAACTTCTTCTCTAGGGCACTGGGAATATTGAGCGTAGCCTTGTCTGTGCTACCCGTGGTGTGGACGGTGTGGAGAGCCTTGAGGAGGGAGATCAGGCGACCCTTGGTGATGGATCGACCGACCAGGAGGTGAGAGAAGGTCAAACCACGGCGGTTCTCCATGGTGATGTTGTAAGTGGTGGTGTCGGGAATGTAGTCCACGTTATATACGGTGGGGAAGACTTGGGCAATCTCGGCGGGCATGTGGGAGTAGAAGAAGAGCTCGCCGAGAATGTTCTCAGACTTGCTCGACTTGATGACCTTGTCGCCAATGATCTGGATGGTGTTGAAGTCGCGAGCAGCAATCATGCCGGCCTTCTTGGCATCGTCGCCCGTCGCAGCATCTTGTCCGATCAGGGCAGCTGGGTCCTGCTCGTCCAAAAGCCAGCCAATCTCACGCATAGTGTCGAGGTTGGCGTTGACAGCCAAATCGTCGACGTATACATCGGCGTAGGGCTTGCCGAAGTGGATGTCGTGGTATGGGATCTCGTACTTGGCCAGCTGGGCAAAGGTTACAGGGCCGACGTCAGCCAGCACTGAGCCCAAGTTTCCGTGATGTGTGCGCATGCGGCGAGCCGTTTGCTGTCCGAGAGTTAGCACAAAGTTTTGGAAAACTGCAGGAAGCCACAATCTGCTTCCTGCTTGCCAAGCGCCAAGAATCGACTTACAATGATGATGTAGTGACCAGCGTTGTACAACTGCTGGACCAGGCGAATGTTCTTCTCGATGGGAGGGCAGGTGGAGTAGTCTCCGGCCACGGCGGGCACACCGACCAAGGTCATGTCGAGATCGAAGCAGAAACGGCGCTTCTTCAGCTTGATGGGCAGGTTGGAAGTATCCGTCTTGAGAAGCTTCAGGAGGTCCTTGAGCTGCTCGGGTGTGCCCACAACACTGAAGTCCTTGGTGCTGACAGGCATGCCCAGGTACGGCACGCCGTTCTGGATCATGAGGGCGATCATCTGGGAAGTGTAGTACTCGCCGACCTCTGAGCCGTCGGGTCTCTTCATGTCGAGGTTCTGGGCAGCCCATGACTTGAGCTGACCCGCGGACGGGAAAACGTATGCGCCAGTGTTTGCCTTGTTGGAGATGGCCTTCTTCTCCTGAATGTCGACAATGCGCTCCAAGCCGTCCCTGTCATAGTAATCTGTTAGAACCTGTATCTTGGCTTGAATAGGTTTGTCCGCTTTGCTCCTGATGGCCACTCACTTGGGTTCTGTCTTGATGTAAGAGAAGATGGGCTTGTCGCCAACGTCGGGGAAGTAGAAGCAACCGCCGTGGCCCTTGGGCATGTTGCGAATGTCCTGGAGGACATCGGCCCAGTAGATGGTGTCGCAGTCGAGAGAGACAGTCTTGCGCTCGAGGTGCTTCTTGGTCATGCTCTGGGTGACGATGTAGAGCTACGAGGGATCGTCAGCGATGCGCTTCCAAGCTTGGCTTCGGCCCTCCTCGGGCGGAATTGCGCAAGGGCGGAGGAAGAAGAGACAAGAGCGAGGGTCAAAAGAGCAAGCAACAAATCTCAAAGAAACTCAGGGAAGAACTGACCGTCTCGCTGGCACCCTTGGTCTGGTGGCGCAAGCGCAGGAGTCTGAAGTCGATCTTGGAAAACGTCTTGCTCACGAGCTGGCCAATTCTGAACTCGTCGTCGACCTCCTCGTTGATGGCCATCCACAAGGTGTCGCCAGGCTTGAGGCTCAGGTTGTCAATCAGCCATAGCAGCATGGGTCGGCCGACGATGTTGATCAGGGGCTTCGGGTAGCGGTAACCCTCCTTTGCGAAGCGGGAGCCAATGCCGCCAATGGGAATAATAACATTGATGGGCTCGTGGTTGACGTCGCCATTCGCAGCAGCGCCGTTGGCGGCTGCCTTGATCTGAGGGGCCATTATATCGGATTGCTACGATGAACAGATGAAGCTCTGTTTAGTCGAGGTGAAATTTGCCAGTTGCGAAAAGCGAGCGGAGGGACGACGAGAGAGGTTTCGCAAGTCAAAGTCGGGCAAAGGTCCGAGAAATTCGAGGGAGTGGCAGATTGTCGCCAACGATGGCAATGTCTCTCTGAGCTTTTGGGTGGAACCGTGGCGGTGAGACTGCAGCACCACAACCAAAGAAGAGAAAGACGGTCTGCTTTGTTGTTGCTGGAGGGGGAAAAAACCAATAAGTGAAGAAATGCAGGAATTGCGAATCTACAATATCCAGTCCAGCATGTCACAGAAGACAAGGAAAAGAAGCGATGCTAGAGAAGGAGGATTTGCGAAATGTACGAGGCCAAGAGAAGAGGGTCGGCCGACAATGGGGAAAGGTGTCCCTCTTTCCCACCTCAGTTAAAAATGGTACGTACTCTGTACTTGCACTAGGTAGAGACAGCCGTCGGGTATTCGTAAGGTACGCACCTACAGGGCTCTGGAAATTTACACAGTTGGTACTTCTTACCTCATGGAAGATGGAAGCTCAGGGTCGTGGAGACAATATCCCGGTAACAGCAAGCAACAACAGATGCGCGATCTCGCCCTGTGTAGCCGTAGCCGACCGACCGTCCGTACGTACAGTGAAGACCAGGGGGGGCAGAAAAAGGTTCGGGTCCTCTTTACTGCGAAAGAGTCTGAGAGAGCGAAGAAAAAAAAAAGTCGCCTTTTGCTATTTTAATTTTCTCCAACTGGAACAGATCCATTGCGGGCGGTAGCGGCCCCCAAACCCCATTAGGGGACCGACCTGGACCTCCACTATCCCCCTCCCTTGTTCCTGTACGCCCTGTACGGAGCTGTGCCCCTCCTCCCCTTGCCTCTTAGACTCATTTTGGTAGTGTCGAACGGAAAGACGACAAGGATAAAGGGGCTTACTCTTCAGGGGTCCGTTTTCTTCTTCACTTTCCTTCCAAAGTCTCTCTTATCGGGCCTCAGCCGTGCAGCCTGTCTCGGCACGTTGAAACTGGCAACACTGGTCTGGACCTACTGATGCTGTCCTGATAGTACACCATATCACCGTCCACAGTGTTTCAACGAGATCGAGTAGCAGTACCAACTCGCCAATCGAATGACTGACAGACAGGAGACAGCCACAAGTACCATTTCCAGACACGAGGTGACATGCGGTCCGCTGGAGTTTTTTTCTCTTGCTGTGCCGCATCGTGACGGTGGATCAATAGGTGAGGCCCGTGGGACGCTTACTTCTCTCGAATCCTCGATGAGCATCGCCAATGGCGCTGTCTGCCAATTGGGTGCGCCGCCCGGGCGCGACTGGTTGACTGCTGTCAATGGATTGCGGGAGTGGAGCCTGTTGACGCCCCGGCCGGAGACAGTTAGCGTCCGAGGTAATTGGCACTGTGCGCCGAACCCCTGCGGCGAGCAGACGCCCGGGCCTGCCCAGACTTTCGACGTGCCTGGCCTTGTGGGTTTCCTCGTCGAGTCCAACCTGAGTTACCAACACACCGTGTTTGTTGCAACTGTATCCGTGTGTAAATTGATCCAAAGTTGTCTCCGTCTCATCGATCATGTCCTCGATTCTTCTCATCTCCTTTTGCTGCTCGCTGATCCTCTTTACTCTCAAGAGATGCCGCTATTTTCCGATTCCACCGTCTGGCGCCATCATCTCACTCGCGATGGGGGCCCCTCCTTGGACCTTTGGAAACCCGTCGCCCCATTTTCGCAAAACTTTGGCTGGGCCAAGCCAGGGTTTCTGCCTATCGTCTGTCCAGCGCTGCAATCATACATGCCCGGCCGCTTGTTTAGCAAATGTAGGGCGTAGCTACGACGAGTAAAGATGGACACGTGTCTTGGCCATCGCATTGGCTTGCTAGAGAGAAGCTGAGAAAGAAGGCGGCCTCTCAAATGGATTTGCCCGCTTTGACTGCTCTTGTTAGAAATCTTGACATCACCACGTATTGTACATCAGCCGAACCAGCCCGCTTGATAAGACTCCTTACCGACGCGACATCCATCTGGTCCTGATTTTGTCGTTTAATTGCGCTGTCTTAGTTCTTGGCGTGAGTTTACGAAGATCAGCCAGTGATGATGCATGTTGTAAGATCCGAGCCAATCCTGCGGGTCGCAGAGTGATGAAGAGAATCAAGCACCATCGACGGTGCAGCTAGGCAGCTGCATCTGCCCGCCTAGCCACACACTCTCGCAAGTCGCAACCACCATCCAACTACAAATCGCCTGGGGCAAGGATAGCCAGACAGAATCGCGCAGCTCATGCTGTCAGCCTTGCGTGGGATTGGCGGAGACGCAGGGGGAGGGGCGAGCGACATGAGAGACCAGGGGCTGTATGCCTGTGTGTATTAGTGTAAGAAGGTGGCTTGGGCATTGGCATTGGTATTGGCATTGGCGTTGGACGTTCAGCGCAATCGGCGTAACCACAATCCATAAATCAATGCCAAGCATCGATACTGTACTGCGGGCAAACGATGAGATTGCGGCATGCAAACTGCGCAATGGACTGATTGCAATACAGCTGTGCGGTTGGCCGCTCCTGATGATTATGTCCCCTTCAGGGGCGTCTCTCATTTCAACTTGGTGCTCAACCCATAGACAAAGTTTGATGGGTTGCATATCGGGTTGCCGGTCCCATTATTGAGACTTTCGCTCCTTCTAGCGGCCCGCAAGCCATGAGAACCTTGGGTTGCGCCAAGTGTCAATGAGCGCCGGTTTGAACTTTGACGTGTAGCAATTATTATTTGACCGAAAATAGCGACCCACAATCCTGAACCCAATACTGTTGAGAGGCCAAAGTCTGTTAGATTGCTGGTTTTGCAGAGTTGTTTCTTTCTTTCGATCTATCGAAGACGGTACTCTGTCATAAACCGGATACCCACGGAAGCCTGGTGAGAGTACCTTGGAATCGAGAGACAGGTTGCGGGCACCTTGTCGATAACGATAAGCGGTGTCTTGGGCGCTGCGTCAAGCCTTGAGAGCTGGGACAAGGCCATGTTGAGTGTGAGACTCGAACAAAGGACGTCCAAGGCGTCCAAGAGGGTCGACCCAAAAGGCGGATGCCGTCGGCGCACGTTCTGAAACCGCTGCTTGACTCGTGGTGGAGGTGCTTTATCTGGCTGTGATGAGCGGCGATGAGCAGAGCAAAGTACCTAGTTGGGCACCCTTGGTGATGCCAGGTACGTCGGCAACTTGTCGGACAGTTGGACTTGAAAGGCGGAGACGGACTGTACGGAGTAGGGGAGACTTTGTACAGTGGAAATGGCACCATTTTTTGTTCCCGAAGCTACCGAGCTACGGGTATCTGATCGAGGGAAAATGCTGGGAGAATCCGGGGAATTTGCAGCGAGTCCTTGTTCAGATAAAGTTATCTGGTGTGTTTCATGACCCAAGGTTACTGCCTCACTTTTACCTTCTTCCCACCCAAAGGTCGTCCGTCCGTTGTCTGTCGTCGCCAATCCACAACCGCCAAGGTAAGGGTGCCACGGATGATATTGTCTCTTGCCCCGCCAAGACGTGCATCTTGTGTTTGAAGAACATCGTTGTCGACGAGGCGAAGCTGGCGGAGACAGCGATAGCAGTGTTGGCGGCCAAGGCGGGATGGAACGGTAAGGAGAAGGTCGCAAAAGAGAGGACGAACCAGTCGTCCGAGTCTTGATGCACTTGCAATGAGGCTCCCAATAGTTCCAGCTTCAGGTCTAGGGCCGCGGGACGGGTGTCGTAATTGCTGCGTCGTTGTCCGTCCGTGTATCAACGAAACTGTGCTGTGCGTCGTCGTTCTGCTTCTCGAAGCATGCCGACCATTAGTATGAAGGCGTCTGAGAGGCCGAAGCAGGCTAGGAGAGAAAAATAGAAGCAACCACTTAAGGTTTAATCCGCTGGAACGGTAGACTATGCACTCATGCCACGCGTTGCAGGGCTGTGCTGGCGACGCGTCTCCTTTTCATTGCGTCCCGCAGTTATCACCAATTCGTCGGGTCGTTTCTGGCCAACGTGGTGAATTGTAGGTAGTCGAACTGGAGTGTTGTAGAAGTGGTGGTTGAATTTGTATAGAAATCTCAATTAGATGGCAGGAAACGTTACCGTACGTCGCACACGGTAGGTACATGGGTACGGTGCGCTGGGAAAGTGCCGTTACCTCCATTCCAGTTTCCACCACTCCGCTCCGTGCCTTCCTGTCGTACCTCTCTTTTGGCACTGGTCAGAATCCAGACCACATGCATGCAGGGTTCCTAGGCAGGCGTGCCCCAGTGCCCGGATACGAACCGACTTTTTTCTTCTGCACTCATCTAATCGGGGTTGGATGAAATTCATAGCAATAAGATAGCTAAGGTATTATCCGTATAGACTGTACAGATTGAGGGCGGAAATACCGACATCATATCTTCTATCAAGTGGCTAGTAATCAAATTTGATATACACAATCCGTAGATTGAGCGCAGACACTGCGATGAAGAGTTTATCGAGTGAATTTCTTTTTGATCGCTTATCGAGGAAGAGTTGGCTCGGCGTACCTAAAGGAGCAACAAGCATTTCTTCAGCTGCTTGACAATAGCCGTCATCTGTGCGATCTGACTGGGCTCTGCGTCTTATCGCACGGAATTTCCAAAGACAGGGGGTTTAGAATGTCGAGCGAAATAAGCATCTCTTGCAGCCCTACTGCGTAAGAGCCATTGTCAACCATTGAGAAGCCGTCGCGGCGCCTAGAAAACGTGTTATTGGCGACGGGATGCACGATTGCGCAAGCTGATGAACATGATGGAAGATTCGCACGGAGTCCGCCCACCTACCGGACTGGAGGTCATCACCGTCATTGAAAAGGCCGTCATCTTACTGAGCGCCCTCAGAAAGAGGTTCTAATTAACGCTAATTGATTGCTGGTTGAGTGAGTGCAATGCGATTCTCCACTGATCAGTGACGGATGAGTGAGACCACCCTTGCCTCGAGCGGGCCGTACTGTGCCAACGAACGGACACATGTCGGGCACTGTACGAACCTCGGTGGCGGAGTCACGCACCCAATCCTCTGTTCTCAAACCCCACTCTTTGCCTGCCTTATTACCTCAAAGTGTAAAAGAAAAGGGTTGCTCCTTCCTGCGGGCTGCGACCCAGGATGCAAAAGGTACGTATCGAGCCCTGAGGTGGGTGAGGGCGGGAAATGGGACCTGCGCGCGCCGCGAACCTCAAGTGGGAAACGGTGCTTTTTTGCTAGCCCCAGGGGGAAGCGCAGCCGGAGCAAGGGGCAGCTTCCCATCTGGCATCGACACAGTACCTACACTTGTGTCATGCTCCAAGCCTAGAAAAAAAAAAAAAAAAAAAAAGGGTGCGTACGGATAGTGTAAGGCGGTTGGCTACCTACAAGACATCGTCAAGCCTCTAGTGTAGCATCTCATCACCGTCGTCCGTTCAGCAGCTGCTACTATCAGCCTCTCTTGGAGGCCAAACCTGATTCGGATAGGTCGACGCGCACATCTCCCGGCAGTTTTGCGTCGTCAATGGGAAATTTCTTCCACGTAAGTTTGGTTGGCCTAATCTCTATTGCTAGCGATAAGATTGAGTTTTGAAAGCCCCTTTTTCCGTCCTGCAGTGGCACATCAACATATTGGCGCCGGCTAGAATAGATTGGACAAACCGAAATCATGAAAATTTAGGATTCATGAGTCCCGGGGCTAGTTGTCCTTTGCCCTCAGCTCTGGATCGCTTCCCGACAATTACTAGATGGTGTTGCCGCCGCTGAACACACTGTAGTCTGTCTGGAGTGGGGGAATCACCGAGTACCATGCGCACCGTTACATTTCATGTCGAGGTTTCGTGTTTGAACAGCTTCGGCACCGGTTGCAGTCCGCGTCATGGCAGGACGAAGAGAGCTATTTCTCCTCGAGCATCGACGAGTGTATTTCCAAGCAAGACGCAGCTATACCCTTATCGCTCCATAGCAGCATGGTGCCACTTGAATCTAGAGAGCATCAGACGAGGCCATACGGACAATCGAGTCTTCACATGAAGATTTAGCTGGTCCCCTTACGACAGAACTGCATAGACAGCGCAGGTTTGACGATACTTGGGTGACACCGGTGTCCCGGCTCGCTCGACGTGGTACTGAGAGTCCCGTTGTCAGAGATCGGCTACTTTAATTCTGACACAGTGCGGCCCCTCCGGAGACCCCTTCGAAAACAGAGCCAAGCTCAAGGTTCCCCCTCGTTTGTGTCCACCTCGCAAGAGTCAACGGGAGAAGGGAGCCGGGAGAAGACAGAAGGTCGGGCGCCTACTGTGTACGGTGTATCCGAACTGGAGTCTGGCTGGCTGTAGCAGCTCCAAGCTGTGACCCCTTTTCAAAGTAAGGTAAGTGCGCCATCATCATCCTTCTCTGAGGTGACCATCGAGGCAGGTACGGATTGTACGTCAACCTTCATCCGTATACCTAGCGGCCTAGGTGCTTTTCATCCACTGGTAGACGAGACGGCGCTGCACCGTGTCTTAATTCTATCCAATGACAGCCCGTGCTATTTTCTTCGACAGACCCGCAAGAACCTGGACTTATCCGACTTCTCATTGGAAAATCGCTTGGCTCCCCCAGAGACCCCACCACAGAGAAAAAGTGAGAAAGAGCGACTACGACGGAGAGAGGGAAAGAGCACATCAGTGGGTGTGTGTGTGTCCCGCAACCTGTACGAAAGTACCTTTTCCACCGGGTGTAGCACACACTGTACATTCGCCAAAAGTATGTCAGCAACCTCGAGTGGACACCTCCAAGGATCCATCTGTGGCCACGGCCCCCTCCCCTTGCCTTCCCTTGCCTCGACTGCCTGCAGTGCGCTTCTGCTTGACGCTGCTCGCTCTCTACCCCGTTCCTGCTCGCCGTGGGCACCTCGCTTCCCATGCAACATCCATTCCAGCCCATTCCTCTCCAGCCTACCTTTCTTCCCGTGTAATTTCATTCCTCTCTTTTTTCATTTCTTACGGTTCTGTCCTGCGCCACCTGTCATCGCGATATTGGGACCATCGCGGGCGGAAACAACCGACGACTTTCCGACTCGAAACAAACCCAAACGAATTCATCGACGAATAGCTGCCAACTCGAATACGCATGTCGGACACGGCGGCCCAGCGAGCGTCATTCCCCCACACCCAGGAAACCTAAACACGATCAGAGAACGTCCTTTCCCACCTGCTTGCAGCACCGAACACCGCCAGCAGATTTACCGCCTGCAATTGCGAGCTGCACGCTGCATCCGAGCAGCACCTTCCTACACTCCTCGCTCGCTGGCAATCACCGAGACGCTCTTTTTGCACAACCCTCGACAGACAGCAATCGCATCTTACGTCGCGCCCCCTCGAGCCTCTACGCTGAACCGCCCTATAGTGGCTGGCGATAATTGCCCACAATGTTACGACACGGGAGCATCCTGGGGCTCTTCTTGAAGCCCCTCAGTTGGATTCCCAGTGGTCCTCAACATGCCGCCTACGCTGCTGCCCTTGGCTTGGTCGCGATCCAGGTTGGCATTGGTATTATCATGAAGATTTCCCAGACAGGCGGATCCTACTCGTTCTCTCCCTCGGCGTCTGTCACCATCTCCGAGTTCCTCAAGATGGTGCTGTCGACCATCTTCTTCTACAACGAATGCAAGCGCAGGGTAGCCGATGGAATTCGCCCATCAACCCGGGGCGGTGGCAGTGGCTATGCCTCCATCGCCACAGAACTCCCTTTGGCCGAGAGAAGCAGCTTAGATGAGAAGCGGGAAGAGGAGGGACTGAACGGCAGTGCTAGCTCGTCCAGCACTGGCAACGTTGTTGAGAGAAACAATGGCCCGCTTCCGCCGCTCGACGTGAGGACATATTGGAGCTACGTCCGTGGCGAGGTTACCAGAGACGTGCGATATGGCTTCTGCAACTTGGCGCTCTTCTACGTGCTCATCAACAACTCGGTACGTGATTCCTACACCGCATACTGTGTAATTGTGTTCATTGGGACTAATTTCTTCAGATCTTTGTAAGCTACAAAATGGCCGACCCCGGTACGATTCAACTCACCAAGAGCGGCGTCACCTTCATCACCGCCTTGGTTATGATTGCGACTCTGAACACCAAGATCTCCAAGATCCAGTGGATTGCCATCCTCATGCAGGTCAGTGGGACGAATCCTGGTACCAAATATTTGATCTGGTCACTGACACGAAGCAGATTTGCGGTTTGATGGTGACTCAATACAACCCCACGACAGGCACGACCTACCCGTTCAGCACCTACTTCATCTTGCTCTTCCAGGTCTTCCTAAGTGCCTCATCAGGCGTGTACAACCAGGCTCTGCTCAAGACCGACGACTCAAGCTTGCATGCCGACAATATGATTCTTTACGGAGCGGGTGCTGCCATGAACTTGTTGTGCCACTTGGTCATCAAGACGTTGAAGGCTGATGAGCCGGGATTCTTTGAAGGTTACACCAGCTTTGGCGCCATCATGGTTATTGTCAGCAATGTCTTCATTGGCCTTGCCATTACCGCTGTATACAAATGTGAGTATCCATCGACGCTTGCTGAGCGACGTACTAACCCTCCTAGATGCCGACGCCGTCATCAAGTGCTTCGCCACGGCTGTTGCGACTGGTATTCTCCTCTACGTTTCACCCATCCTGTTTGGCACCTCGCTCAGCTTCCTCGTACTGCCTGGTACTGTCGTCGTCTTTGTTGCATCATGGCTCTACATGGACAACCCGCCTCCCAAGGACCCCAACGCTGCCGCGACCAACGAGCCTCAGAAGATGTCGTTGTTCGCCAAGATGGCGGCTGTTGCGAGAAAGTTCAACAAAGTTTTCCTCGCCGTAGCCACATTCATCACCGTTGTTATCGTGGCATTCCTCACCATGTCCGAGGCCAAGATGCCCGATTTTGCCAAGGAAGGAGCAACAGCTCCATCTGCGCCATCCGGACCGAAGCCTGTTACTGGCGGCGAGAGCAAGATCGAGTCGCCATTCAAGAACACGATGGCCATGATTCGGTGGAACTCTGCTCGTCCAGAGCGCGTCCCGATGCTGCAAAAGTACGAGCCGTTCTTCCATACCGTGCACATCTCTATGCCCAACATGTTCAAGGAGGAGGATCCCGAGTTCCACAACCTTACCCACGATCAATTCCCGGGAACCTTTACCGTCTACAAGCAGGTGTCCCGTACTATGAAGCTTATCCTCGATACCCAACCCGAGATCGACGGTTTGATGTACTACCACTTCGATGCCTGGATTGACCCTCTTGGATGGACGGGTATGAACCCATACAACATCCACTTCCCCGCCATCATCGACACTGCCCCGCCGTCCCACGGTGGACCCGAGTACATGTGCCTTACCGACACCAAGAACTACAACTGGTGGGGATGGGGCCAGGACTTCCACCGCACTGCCATGGCCGCGGCCGCCGTCGTTGACAACTTTGACCTCGAGTACAAGATCAGACGCGACGAGTGGTGTGTTGGCTGGAGTGATATTTACTACATTCCGAGACGATTCTTTGCCGATTATATCTTCCTTTCCGAAATCTTTGCTGGCTTCGGAGTCTTCCACGAGGTGGCAATTCCTACCATTGTCCGCATCATCGACCAGAGTCGTCGCCGCAATCCGTACCGGTCTATCATTGACCACATCAGTGACTGCTGGGGCCACTGCTGTAGCTCCAACCCCAAGATCCGCGATGTCCTCGGCGCCCGCTGCGGCCACCGTCTCAACTACTTGGAGGAAGCGCCTACTAAGGCATTCTACGACAAGCTTGACGCCCAGGCTTCTATTCTCGGCCACCCTCTCAACTCGACCAGGTATGCCATGTCCAGCGCTGATGCTGCCCACCTGTTCGATAGCGCAGCCCTGGCGAGCATCAACAACGGCGAAGCCAAGAAGGTCAAGCCGATCAACGATGACGCTTTGGAGGATGATCAGCGGGCGGACAAGCTGGCGGCAGACAAGTCCAGTGAAGAGAAGGACAAGCTCAAATCCGAGCACGCTCCCGTTGACAAGACGGAGAGCCCTGGCAATCCCAAGGCTGACCCCAGCAAGATTGCTACGCCCAAGGAAAACAAGGAGGTGCCAAAGAAGGAGGAGCACAAGGACGAAAAGAATGAAGGTGACAAGAAGGTCGATCCTAACGACGCCCTCAGGGAAGCAGATCGGGAGGCGGACGTCAAGCGGATGCTACGACGTGAAGTTGTGGCTGCTGTTGCCGGACTCGGTTATTAACCTCATATACCCCTACATTTCTTTCCTTTCCTGTATTCTTTCTTGTAACCCCCCCCCCCCCCCCTCTTTGACGATAGTTTGTTTGACGATGCCAAAGCAACTACTTGGGAGAGACTTTGAGCAAGGCATCGAACGGTCTGGTTTAGGTTGGGCCACTACCAGAGGGGCAACGAGACACGACAATAAAGGCTGTATTGGCAGCATTGAACTGGTAGATATTTTCTCCTGATGGCATGGAGCGGCCATTGTGTGCACACCGACGGAGCGAGTGCTTCATACAAGCTCTCTGGATACGGTACGATATAGACTTTGTCAACATTTTAGTAGTTCATGAGCAAAAAAGGCTTCCTTTTTCTTTTCTCAGTATTTTTCTCTTGTTCCGGGACGGGCACCAGGCGTAAAAGAGATACGGGGGGGCAATGCTCTTGACAGTCGAGGGGTGAGCGCAGAGCTTGAACAAGCTCGGTTGAGTCTTGAGATTATTAGTGTGAACCGAAAATACAAGGCGTGTAATATTGAGATCGTTTAAAATTCAGAGCACGCTGTGTCCCATGTCCACGGTGACTACAAACATGCTTGTGAGAGGAGTTCTATAAGCTCCATTTAGCTGGCTATTGCCTCTGGCAATAAGATGGGGTGATCTTCCACTGCTCATTCTCCTGGGATGGGTAGGTAAGTGTACAGGCGAAGGAGGGGCGTTTTGACTTTTCGCTTTAGGCTTGGCATCCCGAGTTTTGACGCAGAGAATGTTTTCGGATGGATATGAGGAGAGGGAGAGAAGAGAGCGGGGAAGGGAGGGGGGGGGGGGGGCTTCTTTGATTGAAACGCTCGTCGTTTCCCCGTTTCTTGTGTTCGCGGGCCGTATGTGGCTGTGTGTGTGGTATGGTATGGTTCGTGTGGTTTCTAGAATACCGTGAGAATGGAAGCTTGACTGTGTGATGCCATTGACATTTTCTTGCCACTTCCCGAAGGGAATATACTACGTGGCTCTCTCTTTTGAACAAAATGCGAGACCGAGTATTACTTGATCAAATCTTGCGAGCTCTCGGGTTATTCTCCTGGGGCCCGTTATGAGGACAGTATGTGGGCGTAGACAGGGAGCCGTGGGATGGTATATCTAGAGGCGGCTTACGCACGACAAAGAAACACTTTCAAGATGTTGAGAGTAAACGATAAAAATCATAATTCGTACGAATGCCACCTAGAATGATGTGGAAACCCTGGTCCCAAAAAACAAAACAAAAAGCCCTCTTGTCTGAGCTCTAGAACCTCTCTTCATGCCACATGTCCAACATGGTTAGGAAAAGTCCCGCATCGCTTCCGCTTCTCCGCCCTCTTCCGCGCCCCCCAGACTGGAAGGTCGCTTGGAAGGACGTCTACAAAGCCACCAAGATCTCTAATCACAAGGGATGTCAAGAGGATCTGCTCCTCACAGCTCCTCCGTCCTCCACTTGTCCTGCGTGCTCTGCAAGGCGGAGTTCTCCCTGTACGAACCCCAAGAGCTCTTGAGCGCGACGGCCTTGAAGTCAAAGGTGATGCCCTGGTCGTTGGTCCCCGTGCCGCGGGAGAGGACGATGCCGTCGAGGGGCTTGTCGGTGAAGTAGAGCATGGTGCCAGCCTCGACGCCACCGTTGACGTAGACCTCGAGGACGGAGCGGTCGAGAATGCCGTGCAGCTGGAACTCGACGTTGCCGCTGGAGCCCTCGCTCGAGGCAGCCTCGAGGGCCTGGACGTTGGAGACGCCAAAAGTGCCGGACCTATCCCACACTGCGCTGGCGCGACCAATGTTGAGGCTGGCGGTGGGTGCCCCGCTGTTGGATGTGCCAGTGAAGTCGAAACCGAGGGAGACTTGCTCCGTGCCGTTGGACTGAGAGCCCTGGAAGGCCAGCTGAGCTGAGGCCGTCGAGCCTTCTTGGAGGAGAGACTTGGCCATCTTGACGGTCAAGGTCCACTCTACGGCCGGGTTGTAGTCGCGGATGACAGCGCTGCTGCCCTGAATGCCCGACACGTCCTTCTCGTCAAGAATGGGGTTCCAGCCGGACGTCGTGCTCACGAGCTTGGACAGGTCGCCGGCCGGCGCTGACATGAGTCGGTTGGTGTTGGAGTCCAGCCAGTGGCGGCGCACACCACCCATGCAGTGACGCCATCCCTCTTGGTCGGTCGGCGTGCAGCACCCATAGAGCGTAGCGTCGACCGCCCATGAGACGGAGTATGCATCTTGGTTGGCGTCGTTGAGATTCTGGAAATGGAAGAAGGCGGTGGCGTACTTATCAGGGCCAAAGTCAAAGTCGTAGATGGAGAAGGTGTCCTGGCGCGAGAAGATTCCTCTCCGCGAGCCGAGGCTGGCGGGCACATCTGGGGTGAAGGTGGTGCCGTCCCACTCGCCGGTGATGTACTTGACTGCAGCACCGCCAGTCGGGCCGCCGCCTCCCAGGCTGAGAGTCAGAACCCATTTGGCGCCCACGATGCTTCCAGACTTGTCCTTGCGGGGGATCTGGAGGAATTGGGGGCACTCAATGAGGCCAATGTTGCGCTGAGGATTCCAGACGGATGACTGCGTCCAGTTGACCAAGTTGGTGGAGGTGTAGAAGGCGACTTCACTCTCGAGGGAAAGGACCATGACCCAGGTGTTGGTCTCATGGTGGAACGAGGGCTTGGGGTCGCGGAATCCATGTCTGTTGAGCGAAATGATCGGGTTGTTCTCGTACTGGTTGAAAGTCTCGCCGCCATCGTATGACCATGCAAGATGCTGGGATTCCTGATCAGGCTCCCATGAGGTATAGTAGGCAATGATGTTGTCCTTTCCGCTTGTCTTGTCAGACGGGAAGAAGCCAGACGTGTTATTCTTGTCGACGACGACGCTTCCTGACCAGATGGAGCCATCGCGCGCAGTGGCGGGAATGGCAACAGGATGGTCAACCCAATTGTAGAATTCGGTGGCCGTCGTGTGGCCCCAGTTCTTCACGCCATCGCCCGCGACGTTGTCGGCATCTGAGTCAAAACAGTCAGCGGTCAAGTTCTGAAGATGTTTAAAACATTAAAGCCAGGCCAAGCTTGGCATAGTCTAATCGAAGCAGTGACACATGGCATGCCAGATTGAGATGCATCGCAGGGAGAAGAGCATGTAATTACGGCAAGGTAGGTAGGGTAGGGAGAGCATGCGGCGGTGTGTCTCATTCCGCGCCAAAATGCGGGGGTGGAATTGCAACGCTCATCATCGCGCATGTGATGTTTCCGTCTTTGGCAGAGGCGCAACCCTCACGCCAACGGGAACTAGCACGTGTGCAGAATGCAGATCCAATGAAACGGGCAGAATGGCGCGCCATTGACATTGCACAAGGCAAACATTGGTAACCGCTCGCCCGGAACCTGCGCAATGTGTTGCACAACTCAAAATCGGTAACCGCGGCTTTGGGAGGTGTTTCCAGCACGGTACTTTGCGTTTGGGGAGTTGGGGAATAGGTGGATTGAAATGGGTAGGGGAAAAGGCGGCAATGGAAAAGACTCACATTGGTAGTACATGTGCCAGACACCGTCCGAGTCGACAAAGAGGCCGTTTGGGTCATTAAGCCATTCGGCGGGTGGTGAGAAGTGAATTTGGGGCCGCCAGCGGCCGGATCTGTCGGCTGCTTGTCTCGCCATGACTGCTGCTGGAGATTCGGGGTCTATTGAGCGTTTGAGGTCTGATGAGAAATGGGCGCGTTCTGCATCGGAGAAGAAGCCGGGCAGAGCGTATGACGGTGCTGCGAGCAGTGTCGACAGAAGCGATGTGTAGAAGAGATGCTGCCTCATGGTTGCGAGAGTTCGGCTCCCCGGTCCTTAAGAGAGAACCACCTGAGCAGTGTCAAGGTTTCGGCCAAACGGTGCGGCGGCGGGTAAGGGGGTGCTGTTCCCTGATCGACAGACTTCGGATGGGGGTGAGTAGCGCAGCGTGTCAGCTTAAAGGTAGAGTGACTTTAGGACGAAGCTTGTGTAAAGGTAATTCAATGAACTGTAAGTCTGAGGCACAAAAAGGCAAGGTAGTTCAGCTGAGAGGGAACACCAAGAAGTCCGGGGGTGAGACAATATGGGGGAAGAGAGAGAAGGTATAGTTCTTCGTTCACGAACGAGCTAGAGAAGAGCGGGAAAAGAAATGACGGATCTGGAGCGAGGACAGCGGGTATTTAATCACGAAGAAGCAAACGAAGGTGAATCAAACCTCGGGAGGTGTCTCTCACAACATGCAGTAGGTAGCCCACAGCCAAACAGCAAGCAGTAGACAGGAAAAAAAGGAAGAAAAAAACGGCAACGGCGAACTAGTCGCAGTGACATTGGCTTAGCTTGGCCTCCGCTGGCTGAGTAGCGGTTGCACCATCGTCGGGGCAAGTCAATGGCAGGCCGCAGCGGCAGACTGACGAACAGGATGTCCAGTGCCATCATCTCAACTGGGCTGCTTGCTGCCAAAGGACAGGAGAGTACTTCGTACTTCCCACGGACGGAATCATGGCACTGGACGCCAAGGACGCAATGGGGAAGGGGCCATCGCACACCATGCGTCCAAGACTGGTCTCATGACTCTCTGTCTGGTTGGCAGGTGGCTGGCTCTCGTGGCCTCCTTTTTGCTGCACTCGTTCGCAAACCACGGCTTACACCCCGCGCCAAGTTGGCCCATCTCCAACTTTTTTTTTCCTTCCAGAAAGTTGGGGTAAGGTAGCCCTCAGGGGGATCTGTGCCCCCCCCCAACTTGCGGTAAACAACGCTAGATTGTGTTACCATAAAAGGGAGTGTGCGTGAGAGAAAGAGAAGGGAGAACAGGCATGGTGTGAGGTGAACCACCAGCTGATTGATTGTGAATTCAACCCCGCAAAAACAGCTATTCCAAAGCGGCCGGCGGTACGGATAGGGACCGGGACTGCATCGTATGCCCCGGACTGGCAAAGAGGGCCCGTTCCCGTCCCTACTTTCCCCGGATTTCCATTGGTCAGGTGGCCAGGATTTGCGATACTTGCATTGTTGAAGGCGGTCTAGCGTTGGGTTGATCAACTTGGATTATTGTGACGTTCTGCAGCGATTTTCCATGATGGAACCATGTATCTGGGGAACGGATGCGGGGGTTGATTGTTTACTGCCTTTCGACGGGGACAATGCGCTCAGATTTCTCAATGTTCCATCAAGAAACAACAATAGAGAAAGAAAACAATGACCATGTGAGCGACCTAATCTTGGCTCTCCGAAGTAACGTCGGTGAAGCTGAAGTCATTGAATGGCATGTGGATGAGACAGAAAGACAATGACCGAGGAAGGTGTTGATGAGGGGGAACTGGCAAACAGGAATCGCTTTCCTCCGGGCACCTCAGTGTTCGAGACGCGCGCGGGGCTCAAAAAGTGGGTAGCCTCTGCCCCTCATCAGGTAAGCATTCGTATTACCTAAGTTGAGTTGTCAAGGGAGGACATTGAAACAAAGAAGGGAAACTGCCCCTCATTCACGCCGGGAAAGAACAATGTTTGGCATGCTCACAGGCCAAGGCGGAAAGGAAAATCCTTTCCATTCCTCCTGCTGTTTTCCACGTTGCCCGTGACTTTCGACGGTCATATTTTGCGGAAGCCAAGACGGACCGGAAGGCAAACTACCTGCCTGTCTGAAGTGACGCTGTTTGTCTCGGCTGCTCTTTGCTCCGATAGTTTGCCCTCATGAAAGATGGCCGCATTGTCAACATCGTTCCCAGGCGGCGTCTGACTCCTTTGCGCGCATGTCCACACCATTTCTCCAAAATTCTCAACGTCACAACTGCTACACTCCAAGTACTCCGTCATCCTACCCTGCCCTACTCGAACCATCAGACCGCCAGATCGTGAACGCCTTTTGGTGCGTATCATCTCACCTCTGCGCATCTTCCGGTCTCCCTTCTACCCAGGATATGTCCACCCTAATTTGTGGCCGAGGAACCTTTGCGAGATACCTTCTAGATCACCTGTCGACCAACAAGGTGCAACGGCGCGCGAGATCTCAGCAAGACATGGATCGACACCGAGTCAGAGACATGGCGCCCACGCGATGCCGGCCCTAACCGCAACTTTCACCTCCAAACCTGTACCACCCGAGTCATGATGCTCAAGTCACCAGCACTTGGCACTTGTTCTTACGTTACTTCAAATATGCATCGCGAGTCTCTTCAGGCCACGAGGCAGCGATGATCTTTTGTCCGTCTCTCTCTTCGTCTTGCCAGCGCTGCCTACGTCAAGCATCACGGTCGTGGATGACGATATTTGCTGCCCTCACATATCACATCTTGCATCGCCACGAGACAACGACAACACTCGCATCGCATGCGATGCAACGTCCGAGCGAGACTAGCATGGCATTTGCTGACTATCATTACACTACAAACAAAGCGAGGCTTCATGGCCATGCCCACGGTCGTGCCGGCCCAACTTCGGCATCCGACTGTGTTGCCAGAGTCACCGGCCCAGGAACATGTCCAGACGTTACATTAGACGCAAGACCCTTGACAGGCTGGTCTCTTGTTGGCCGCTGGGCATGGCAGTCATTAACACCTCATGTGCTCCCCCGCCTTTCTGGCTTTTGGCTCGACTACCACGTGATGAACATCCCCCTCAGCGTTTGGATTTCGGTGCATTCAAAACCTCTACTGTCGCCAGGTCCCCTTGAAAGAAAAATCATCAATAGAATCGCCAACTCTGGAACCTCGTGGAGCAGAAGAATGCAGCTGAGGCGACTCTCCTTGCAGGGCCGCCGTCTTCGCCGCCCTGTACGATGACACGCCACGGTCAGTCTAGACTTGGTCGTTTTACTTGAATCAATGAAGCTGCTACCACAACAACTTCATGACTCTCGTCAACATCTTCAAGCCAGCCGTTCACGCGCCCTCGGCTTTCCTCATTTGGAAGTCTTCCGGCCAAGCAGTCGTGAGGGTTCTGCTGCTGCCCGTCGTCCGCCACCATCGAGCATCGTGGTGGGGACCCGGATGCTTAGCTTCAAGACGGAGCATTAAGATGCGCACTATTGATGGGCCTGTGGTCGGAGCCGCAGATGTTGCTGCCCACGCGGCCTGGCCTAGACTTGTCTGCAGTCGGAATGCTCAAGGAATACGATCCAGTCTCGCATGTGGCGCTATTTGCGAACATTCCCTTGATCATGATTTTTACTAACAGCGCAAAGCTCGCGATATTTCCTGCGGCTAGGTCAGCTTCGCATTAACTAGCAGTCATCTAGTACGCTCCGTTCTGGAGAATGTGCCGAGGAAATACTGGAGGCGGAGCCCAATGCCAAGAGGCCATCGGCGGAAGATGGCCGCGTCGAGATTATCAGATGAGCTTGATTCATGCCAGGGGCAAGGCGAAGCGAACGACCAATGACGTGCGTATTTTGATCAGGCTAGCACTTGAGGTTGTCGCTAACGTAAGTAGTCGTTGAAGAAAAGGGTGCTCTCGGGCAGAAGCCGTTGAAAGGTATGATGGGATGGAATTCCGACCATCTGGTTGAGCTGTAGACTTGTGCTCTATCAGTTTTCTCTAATTTTTGGAACTTTACTCTTGTCTTCGGTTCCATCATCTTGGATCTTGTGTCCTTGAGGGCACTTTCCGTCACGAAGGAGTATCGCTGCGGCTCCTTGGTAGTCTGGTCTCGTGCCCCCCTTCTGCCCAAAAGCTCGGTGAGCGATGACATTGAAGGATGGGTTGGGCGAATAATGGCGCGCCAAAACTAAGGTTGAGCGGAGCCCAACGTGTGAGTGCTGGGCAGATATGCAGGTTGCCCAAACCGACCAACGGCGAGCCCCAGTTCGATGTTCCGATCATCTCCAATTGGCTCATCTTCACTCCAACATGCTCCAATATGCTGCCCACCCTGCGTTATCAGAACCAATGCCAGTCTTTGCTAGCGAATGGTAGCCACTGCTAGCCTCTAAACTTTTGAGGCCCCCTCCTCTCCGATGCACCGCCCCGCCGTGTCCGCCAGATCCAGCACGTCGAATCTGCGCTCACTTTACTTAAGTATCGCCACGGCCCGGCTCCTTGTCCGTGAGTCAAAAAGGTCTCGACTCTCCGCTTTCCCCCACGTCTGCAAATCCTTGACTCCCGAGAAACCCGGAACATTCAATCCCGCCACCCCGCGCCGCCATCAGCCTCATCCCGAGAAGCTTGTCTGAATCCAGCAACCCGGACGTAACTCAATCTCCATTTATATAACCTCGACCGTTATCCCATCTCATCTCAACTACTTCCCGCTCTCGGACCTCGACAGCAAACCAAGCTAGATACTCCAAGCAAACCGCTTCTGGAGGATCATCTCAACCTCACCTCACATACCTAACGGAATGGCCCGATAGCATCCCCACGCTCCAACCTCAACTGCTCGTCACAAAACACCAATACCTTTTTGGTAGCCTCCCCGGAGAATCATCTTCTATTCTGAGAGCCGCATGCGGGGAATTTCCCCGCCTACTCTTTGACTCGGTCAAAGCACCCTTACACCCCAGGGCTCGCTGTTGCCTTTGGATCTGTTAACCGCTTAACCGTCCTCCCCATTTCCGACGACCCTCACCCCCTTTCGAACGGGTCGGTCTAAGCCTTGATCATCGGATCAGGTCTTCAACACTTCTCACCCAGGAAAACCCTCCCACTCTGCCACGGTGGCGTTCTACCTAGACACCAATATACAACCCAACCTTGTTGACTCTTGTTATTGCGTGTTACTCGGGAACACCATTTGCTACTGCGAATCCTACTCCGACCAGACGACGACTTCCATCTTGAAACTAGATTCGGTCGACGACCCACCTATTCCACCTCCTCCGATCATCGGCTTGTTGCCGTGTTCATCATGGAGATCACCTATGGCACTTGGTGTCATGGAGTGTCCACTCGACACCCCCTCCTATTCTTCGGAAACGCTGAGCCCGACTCGAAGCCCCCTAAACCCCGGGAACGAAAATGAAAGCGACAAAGCCAGCGACAGCGGGTTCAGCAACGGCGTCGCGACGCCCGCTGCCGCCGGTATCGACATTTCGCGACTACGTTTTGAATGCCGTTGGCAAAACTGTGGCAAGGTCTTTCGCAGACCTAGTGATTTGACGTAAATTTCACCTATACTTTTCTTACTTTTGTCTCATCACCTACGAAACCCCACTCCCTCCTCTCCGTCTCTTGATCAGGAATGACGAGAGACTGGAGAATCTTTCATCAAACTTCACACATGGTGAGAAAATCTATGAAACTGACATCCAATCTCTCATCAGCAAACATGAGAGGTACCACATCAAGGAGTACCTCTGCGACGAAGCAAACTGCGACAAGGCCTTTGCGACCATGAAGGACCTGAAGCGGCACAAGAAGACGCACGAGACGCTCGACGGCGACGGCGCGGGCGGGGGCTACAGGTGCCGCGTCCCCGGTTGCCGAAAGGCGAAGACGGGACACGTGTACAACCGCCGCGACAACTTTGTCCGTCACCTGCGGACCAAGCATGTGGGCATGGAATTTGATGTCAGGGAGGAGTTTGATGTGACGTACTGAGAGATGTGCGTTGCGTGGTGGTGTGTGCGGAGAGCGGATTAGGTGCAGAATGAAAGGGTGGTAAGGGGTTTAGGAAATGGGGAGGCCGGGGATGCCTTTTTGTTGCTTCTTTTTGCGGCTTCGCAACTTCTTTTTCGGTTCGTTTTACTTGCGATGTGGGTATGATCTACGCAACCAGGCAACAGATTCAACTGTTTTCGTTTTCTTTTTCTTGGTAATTTCCAAATTTGGGTTCGGGATGGGCTGCTTCGTTTCACAAACTGGTGAACCAGACAAGGAAGCGTTTTAGACTTGGGAGGGTATTTTCGATTTTTCATGGGATTGTTGGACATTTTATACCTTTTGTTCATGAAATCATGCGATGGACTTAGGATGGAACACAACCCGACGGCTGGTTTATGATCTGGGGCCTGAGATGAGTGGTTTCTAGCAGCGAGGAGGAATATAATGATGCACAAAACATCTGTCCTGGGCTTGACTGCGCTTTGTTGTTGCGATGTTGATGCGTGGGTGAGATGTTCTTGGCTGGCCTTGGCGGCCGGTTTGATTACCTATTCTAAGCGTTGGAGGGAAACAGTGCCGAATCCGTAGAACAAGACAGGCAGATCATGATAAACTCAGTTATCGAGCTTTACTCGCTGTGAGTTGTCAGGTTAGTATCAAGAATTCTTGAGAAGATACCGAAACGAGTAAAAACCGAAGGCCTGCCCCTCGCAGTCCCGAGGCCAGTAGCATACCTTTCTCCCGGGATCCTGAGGGAACGTGACTGCAACGGAACTTTCAGATTTTTCTTGTAGCCTGTCAACGAGCATCCTGACCATTTAGCAAGCATACCGGGTCCATTGAATGCCGCTGCCTAGTCTGTCTTGCTCCAATGATTGGAGTTGAAGATCAGGCACCACTGCACTCGGGCCCTCGATGTACGTGGGAGAGAAGTCCCATCCGTGCTCTGTCTCTCGCGACGACCTCCTCATATGCCGATTACCAGGTGAGCAGATACAGACGCTGGTTGACACCGAGATCATTGAAACGGAGTATGTCACTCTTTACTTTCTTCGTCTCTGGCGCGATGTATACATTGCTGGAGCACAAGTTCATTCACTACTATCTTGAAAAGTCGCCATTGCAATCTTTCGCCCTGACGGAAACAAGCCTAACGTGGTTATACATACAGTCCATCAAATGAAGACTCCGTCACATCTTGATTCGAGCCTAGAGATAATAGCCTGCTCTTTGAAGCACTGCAATAATTCCAAGGATCAATGCGAAAATTTCGTACTATTAGATCTTCAACCTTATAGCACAGCCACAAAACGGTAGCTGAACATTTTCATGAGATGAGATCAGAACTGGATGGGGAAATTAGTGTGTAACCATAGGATAATGACTCAACACTGTTGCTAATATCGTCTCTCACTAGAAAAAGCCGAAACCCTTTCGTCATCGTTAGCAAGGGCTGGGACCCGGGAGGGAGGCTGAGACATTCTCAAAAATGGAATTGAGTAAAGCGGATGGCAATACAAAAGAGCTTGAATTCGTCGACGAACCTTGCGATCTCGTTCTCAGCAGCCGTATGTAGACTTCCAAGACAGTTTCGTCCCCAGCTGTTCGTCATGGTCAAAGCCCGCCGAATATTCCCAGAAAAGTGCAGTTCATAACAGACCTCATCTCCTCAGAGATGATGGGTTTCTTGCAGTACCACCATAAAGGTCATTACCGGCGTATCAGGCACTTTGGAGAAGTTTGCATTTCTGCTTTTCCACCGGATTATACTTCCACATATATACAGATCGCTGCTTTTGGGAGTATAAGGCGTAGTGAGACTTACTTTTGTGTTGGTATGACCCTTGCACATTGGGCCATCGTCTTGTATCGCTTCCAGAAAAGCCAGCGTGTAAGCTGCTCGATGACTCGCATCTCAATTTCGGGGGTTCCGAACCAGTGTCTCCGCATCAAATGGCAACAAAGACCGTCGAGTGAAGCGTCCTCTCACGAAGCGTTGGTGGGCAACAGGTCATCAACGTGCACCATCCACCAAGGGAGGTAGGAGGATGTCCACTTCTCAAGCGTTTATGTGCAATCATTATTCAATAGAACTTTCAGAACGATTTCTGATGAGAGTGACCCATGTCCACGTACGTATGGTCATACCAGAGCTTTATCTCGAAAATCTTGCCCTCGTCAGTGAAACAGACCGAGGCTGAGAGCCCCTGGAAGGAAAGGCGTCTGAGCAGCCTTACTTCCTCGGACCTATGGCGTCTGTAAATGCTTATGCCGAGCCACGTGGTCTGCATTGATGATTGAGAATTCTGACCCGAGTTGTGGTCAGCAAATTGCATCGACAGATCCACAGGTAATGCGAGGAAGGCGAAGAAGAGAAATTCGGAAATGCCGATCTCTCAAAAATAGACCTGCGTTCCTTTTGTCCATGTACAAGCCGACGATAGATCACTGAAGCCCCCTGTTTCCCAGGAAATAGTTCGGTATTTGAGCGGGGGACTCAGCGTAACCTCGTGGCTATCTTGTAAAGACTTTTTGAGAAATCTGAGGCACATATGGCATATGTTTCCCAAGAGTTGAAGAGTCCATCTTATTATTATTATTTTAATTCTTTTTGCCTACAAGATCTTCAAGATTGGAGAAGAGATCAGAGTCAAACCCATCTTCCTCTCATGTAGTACCTCGTAAGGGAAAACGGCATTATTATAGCATTGGAACAGTGGAGAACTCTCTTCGACGTCATGTGCTACTATCGACGAGCCTGGTGTCTGCTCAGAAAATGGTGTCGAAAATGGATTGAAGGCCAGCCCCCGCGCTAACAGGTGCCATGACATGCCATAATGGGAGCGAAGTAGTAAGTGAGCTCAGGGAATGGGTACGTCGGGCAGCTTTCCCTAGCTCGACTGCGGCATAACATACTGAAGATCATGGAGTGAGGTAAGCGCAAATCAGCGACATTGGGTTGGCTGCTCCATCACATCAGTTGTGTCTAGCAATGAAGTCGCCCAACAAAGCGGTGCAAATGGTAGTTGGGAACTTTTCCTTCCCTGCCATTTTCATGTGTGACACAAGTACCGAGCTAACGCCCGGACAAAAGCCCAAAAATGGTAAGCCGCGAAGACCGGACAAGCCAGCCGTCGCGCGCCGCGGGCGATTTTTCGTGTCATGCAATCGTATGTGTCCCTGAAGCAAGAAAAAAGTCCGACTGACTTTGGCACTTTTGAGCACTCCTTTGGGCGACCGAAAAAGACTTGTTCCCGCAGCAGCGGCGGCGTGTCGAGGTCGAAATACACATCCCGAGCCAAGGGGACGAACGGTTCCACCCACGTGTGCGAAATCTGGGGCTCCATTGGTTCAAATGGAGACTATGGACCCCCCATCTGGATCCCACCCCAGAGACAATTGGGAACCGGACCCTGGCTTAGTCTGGCAGGTCTGGACAGGACTAGCTGGGGGTCCGTAGCGTCCTGGCTGACGACTGTGGAAGAGAGAGAATGGGGATGGCCTTTTTTCGGGCAGATTTAGTACTTCCCTATCGTAGCAGAGAACAACCGAGTTGATCAGGAGGATCGGAAAGCGTGGTGCGACAGGTCGGAAGATGGTGTTGAGACTGATGGCTAGAATGGTCTTGGTGAAAATTTAGGTACGGCCGACGTTTGATAGCGGTGGCAATCGAGCGCTGCTAATGGGCTCAACTTCGTACAAGGTTCGAGCAATCTTGAACTCATCAGACTGACGAGAGCTATCTTCTCGCTCTCTCCAGCTACTTAGAGAGGTATCTCATAGTCTCATTGAGCCTTGAGGGTCCTGTGCGCAAATACGCCATGCGACAGCGGCAAGGATATCTGTACCAGAGAGCCGGAATAGAGAGGATACATACGTGTAACGCCATGCAACACGCGCCCCGGTGTCATACATGAACCCCTTCATTGAGACTACGTCGATCTGGCTACGACAGGTCTGCCAACAGGGAACGCCGTCCGAGCACGTGGGTTGACGAGACTTGACTTTTACGACTCCAGCGGACAGACTTGAATGCCCCGTCCGTAACGAGACAACGGGCACGCGACAGCTTTGCAGAACTCCCTTCAATGTTGGGGGAGGGCAATATCGATATTCCTAGACGGGCGTCGTCGTCGCACGCCCGAAAGCTTGGCCTCCTTCTTGGCGGTGGCATCATCGCGCGACCTCAGTGGTAAAAAGGTTGTCGATGCCAAGTGCCAAGCAGCGGCAGACCACGGGAGCTTCCAGCCAGGAATGCGAGCCGCACCAGGGTATTTCATTCTCTTCAACGACATGCCGTCGATTTCAAAAAGAGCAGTCGCTATTCAAAACCTCCTAGTTTGGCCGATTTTCGTCAAGCCAAAGAATTAAAAAAGTCCAGCGCTGAGATCCAAAGCCGTTGACATCGAATGTCGTTGCTGGGTAGAGCCGTCGCGCAACGTGCTCCCGACTCGCGATGTGATTGGCGGGCCGTAGCACGGAAACATTAAGCCCACCTCCCTCACCACCCCGGGGCTGAATCCACGGGAGGGTCGGCCGGGCCTAGGCTGATGCTGGAAGTTGGAGAGGAAGGGAAGTACCTCCGGCGGAGAGGGACATGTCAGTCAGGCAAACCGTGGTACCCCTTGTTTTGCTGGACTGATTGGTCTTCGTATCGGGCGTTCGGTATGTGGAATAGGCTAGAGTATGGACGGTTCCAACGTGGAATGTCGGCCAACGTGCTGCAAAAACCTGCCATGATATGCCAGCAGAGCATTATTTCTCGGCGATAATGAAACATTCGGCGTCATCAATCCTCGGAAATCGACAGCGACGAGTGGCGGGCTATTTGTCTTCTTGTTCCACGTTTACGTCTTAGACTTGGCTATCTTGGATGAACTGCTTTCGCGTTGCCAAGCTGCCACTGGAGGAATCCACCCGGTGGCCAAGCATGATCGGCTGTAGCCAAGTCTCCCGTTCGAAGCGCCCAGAAAGCTTGACTGCAATCCGGCTTGGGCTTCAGATCGTTGGGCCTGCAGCCTACTCAATGTGTTGTGAAGGTGCCAGGTTGGCCTGGACAAGGGCAATAAGATCGGAAATTGTTAGAGCGGTACCGCGCGTGCCACCATCGTTGGTCGTTCCCCGACTGGACTAGCATCGCCCCTCCAAGGGACCATGTTCTCAAAGCGAGCGTGCCCATTGGTTCCCGAGCAACATTGACATAAGCGGGCCGTTACATCTCACTTCTACTGTGAGTCTCGACTTCCCAGTATGAGTTTGACAGTTTGTCTAGACCTCTCCTCAGCCAGCATTTCTAATGCGACTCGACCTCGCGAAAAGTCCGATGACGCCCTATGTCTTGTTTGATCTTTCTGTAGCCGGTGTAAGAGGCAGAAAGTGAAATGTGCGGGCAGCCAGTCGGGAGTCGCGGTCTGGAAGTTCAGCCAAAGTAGAGACGAGAGACGAAGTCTGGGAAAAAGTGAAAAACACGCGCCATTCCCAATCGGTCGCCGAGCACGGCTCCACACAACCATAATTCCAGACCTGCGCAGCACACATCCCTGCTGCCCTCCACGCCTCTTCTCTATCGCCTGGCTCCTCTCTTGGTCGTCGTCGGCGGTCTCCATATTGCTGGTCCCCGGGTGGGGGGCCATTTCCATTTCGAACCTTGTCTTCTCTGCTGTCGATTCCATAGCCGATGTCTCGCTCTCTTGAAGGTGACCCAAATGATCGTGGTCCAGGCGATACTCTCACACTTCTTCGACGCTTGTCATTCGCCCTACGAGGTACATCAGCCCTCCCTGGAATCCCTCCATCTCGTCCCGTTCTCTACGCTAGCACGTAGTCTCCGAGGTGGAGGCTGATTCTGAACCATGTCTTCGTCTTCTTCCTCGTCGGTGTCCCTAGTCGTCGCATCTTCCGGGTCCACTAGAGAGTGTTCGTTGCCAATATCCATGCATGTAACTCTGTAGAAGGCTGTCAGCTCAGATGGCACCAAGTCCCCTTGCCCACATGTGTCCTGCTTATAAGCCAAACACACTCCCCGATCCCCCTAAGCTTTGAGTTTGTCTGCTCTTCACGCTCCTCCCTCATCCTTCCCAGCAGGTCATCAAAGCCATCCAAACCTGCTTTCTCCTTCGGGCCTGACTTTGCCATTCGTTTAGTCAAACCGGACTTTGAGCAGATCGACACAATGGCCGGTGTCATCGAACCTTCGCACGCCGCGGGCGTGGACGCCGCCGCTCCTCGCGAGCTGACCGGTGCCGACATCAAGCACAACAAGACCTCGGGAGGAAACGCAGCCTTCCATAACTTCAACAACGACTTCGCTCACGTCGCCGACGCCAACGAGCGCCGTCGCCTTGCTTTGGCCGAGATCGACAAGGCGCCTTTCGGCTGGTACCACGTTCGTGCCATCGTTGTCGCTGGTATTGGTTTCTTTACCGATTCGGTACGTTGTCCTACGAACAGACGAATTGGTCGAGACTGACAAGGCACCAGTACGATATCTTCACCATCGGCCTCGTCACCTCCATGCTGGGCATAGTGTACTTCGGCGGCACTCTTCCTGCCGAGCACGACACCGCTATCAAGGTCGCTACCTCCGCCGGCACCGTTGTTGGTCAGGTCGGATTTGGTGTTCTGGCTGATATCGTCGGTCGCAAGAAGATGGTAGGCGCTCGCAGCTTCACTGACGTCGCGAAAGAGAAGAGGTAGCTAACTCAGTCACAGTACGGTGTCGAATTGATGGTCATCATCATTGCTACCCTTGCCCAGGCTCTTTCGTCTTCCTCCCCGTCTGTTTCCATCGTCGGCCTCATTGTTTTCTGGCGTATCATCATGGTAAGTGCTGGTTGAATGACTTCGAGGGAGAATGCCACTAACAACGGCCGCAGGGTATCGGTATCGGTGGTGACTACCCCCTTAGCGCTATCATTACCTCCGAGTTTGCCACGACGAAGTGGAGAGGATTCATGATGAACGCAGTGTAAGTCCTCGGCTCCGCCCCAATGAGTGATTTTCTTCTAACGTTGGCGATAGCTTTGCCAACCAGGGTTTCGGCCAGCTTGCAGGTGGCATTATGCTTTTGATCGTCACCGCCGGCTTCAAGGGCTCCCTTGAGACTGCTAGCAAGGCCGCCACCTGCTCTACCACCGAACCTTGCATCATGGCTGTCGACAAGATGTGGCGCACGATGATCGGCTTCGGCGCTGTTCCGGGCTGCATCGCTTTGTACTTCCGCCTCACCATCCCCGAGACTCCCAGATACACCTTCGACGTCGACAATGATGTTTCCAAGGCCGAGGGAGACGTCGACTACTACAAGCAGGGCAAGTGGGGTGAGTCTCAGGTCGATGAGGCTGCCCGCGTCATCGCTCGCCAGGAGGCCAAGCAGCAGCTCGAGGTTCCCAAGGCCTCGTGGAGGGATTTCTTCAGCCACTACAGCACCTGGAAGAACGCCAAGGTCCTCCTCGGTACCGCTGGTTCATGGTTCTTCCTTGATGTGGCCTTCTACGGCCTGGGCCTTAACAACGCCATCATCCTCAACGCCATCGGGTGGTCTGGTGGTGCTGATATGTACCACATCTTCTACAAGACGGCTGTTGGCAACCTGATTCTTGTCTGCGCCGGTGCGGTTCCCGGATACTGGGTTTCTGCTGCTCTTGTCGATACCATTGGCCGCAAGCCCATCCAGCTCTTCGGATTCTTCGCTCTCACGCTCCTCTTCTGTGTCATCGGTTTCGACTACTGGAACCTTTCGGGCTCTGCTCTCATGGCGCTGTACACCCTCTCGCAGTTCTTCTTCAACGCCGGTCCCAACTCGACGACCTTTATCGTTCCTGGCGAATGCTTCCCTACCAGATACAGATCCACCTCTCACGGAATCTCTGCCGCCTCAGGCAAGGTCGGTGCCATTATTGCGCAGGTGGTTTTCGGACCCCTCCGTACCATCGGTGCCGATGCCGCCAAGGCCAAGACCGACCCGAGATACAGCACTCCTTGGCTCAACCACATCATGCAGATCTTTGCGCTCTTCATGCTCTGCGGTTTCTTCACCACCCTTCTGATCCCCGAGACGGCGAGGAAGACGCTTGAGGAGCTCTCCGGCGAGGACGACTTGTAAGTTTCACTTGATTATGGTATATTGCTTCGGAAACTGTACTGACTGAATTCGCAGGGCAACAAGTGCCATTCCCGTCCATGGACACAACGAGGAGAAGCGTGTTGAGGAGGGCACTGCTGCCGGCTCCGTCTAAACATGGTGCCACTAAGGTGAACCCAAATTTGAGCATTCGTTGTTTTGAGCAGCGATCGATACCCTTAATTGTAGTAAAAGATGGTGTGGAAGAGCTTCATACGTAGTATATTGTAGACATAATAGACAGCATTATCAGCTGCAGGTTGCGTTGCTCAGTCGTGCTGCTTGTGACCGAATCCTGGGAATTGTGATCTCGGTTCCGCCGACCGTCCACACAACGGTACATCTTGCTTTACCCGGTAACGCATGATGGTCTATGTTGAAAATGCCGCCAGTATGCAAAGCATCTGAGATCGTATGTAATGCTGTCCTTTCAGGCAAGCTGAAATTGTTGTTGAAGCGGCGTTGGCGGAGAGTTGGATGGGCCTGGACGCTGTTGAAGATTGCTTACATAACCCGTCAATCGTTGGCAGGAGTTTGGGCTTTGGGCTCGCTTGGATGGGGCACAGACCAATGGTAACCTTATGACGTCCGTTTGGTTCGCTGCAGGGACTTTGACCACTGCCCACTAGGCACCCCGCCAAGCGGATCTTCGGCCGCCCTAAAGTATTGAAAGTTCGGGGCATCCCAAGCTTCCCGGACCTCCCTCCTACATCTCCAGATCCAACTTGCACCACTCTCTCACCATGGCTGCCTTTCTTCGACAAAAGCAGACAGGCATGCAGAATGACCTGTCTGCGTCAATCATCCCCGAGCTCTTCGCTCCCGATTACCAGTCTGCATACGGCATCAACTCGCAGGTTAGGTCAGTAGCCAAGCTACCCCACGTTGACGCGCGTCAACTTCATAGCATTTCGAACTGCAGACCTTGATGTGAGGCCCGAGACTGACTGGAAATGGTGCAGTTGCCTAGCATACGATCCGATTCAGTCCCTTCTCGCAATTGCGACCAACGAGTCCAAGTTCGGCCCCGGCAAGATCTTCGTTTTCGGCCAAAACAGAGTCTCCAAGGTCATGGAGCCGCCAAGGCACACATCTTTCCGCTCTATCCACTTCACCGCCAATAAGCTCGTCTCCCTTGATGCCAAGAACGAACTGGGAGTATGGGACCTCGACACTGCGAAGCGCATCGCGGCTCTCGTCTGCCCCGGTCAGGTCATCTCCATGGTCACAGATCCTATGCTCGATTGGGCCTTTCTTGGCATGGCCACCGGAGAAGTCTTGGCCTACGATTTGGACAGGGAGAATATTGCGAGATCATTCCGGCTACCAAACTTTTGGAAAGAGAGGGATCCGAATGCCCGCATTGTTGGGCTGGTGAGCATTTCGTTGCATCCGAGAGATATCGGGCAAATGCTCATCGCGTACACCACGGGCATCGTTATTTATTCGTTTAAGCAAAACAAAGCTCTCAAGTTCTTCGAATACGTACTTCAACCAGGCGCACCTGGTGGTGGAGGGCAGCCGGCGGACACAGTTCGCAGGCCGAGAGTCACGCATGCTCTCTGGCATCCAACAGGAACCTTTATCATGACGGCGCACGAAGATGGTAGTTTGGTATTCTGGGATCCTAAGGATGGCCGCATCATCATGGCAAGGACACTCACGGAAATGAGTGTCGATCAGTCAACACCGAACGCCGGACATGCCGGCTACACAGAGCCATATGGGCGTATTGCTTGGTGCTGCAAGGAGAATCCGGATGATACTGGGCTCTTGATTTCTGGTGGTCAGAATCCGGAATCTCCCCAGGAGGGGCTGACCTTCATCGAATTGGGCCAAACACCAATTTATGCGACTTCGAGTTGGCAAGTTCTTCAGGACCATCTGAAAGGCAAACGCCAAATCACCTTGCCAACTCCGCCGGGCGCCCAAGTGGCAGACTTCCTCCTCATCCCTCGTTCTTCGCCCTATTTTGCTGGCGCACAAGATCCCATTGCGATCATGACCCTCCTGACTTCGGGCGAGCTGCTGACGATGAGCTTCCCGTCGGGATACCCAATCAGCCCCACAAACCAACTGCATCCGTCCGTCTCCTTTGTCCACCCATATGTCAACAAATTCGCTGTGCAAACGTTGGATAGAGGTCGCTGGATGGGAATGGTCGAGACCAGAAACCAGGGCGAACCTCTTCTGAAGGGTGGTGCCGAGACCGCGAAGCCCAAGCGCAGATACGAAGGTCGCACGATCTTCCAGATAGCACATGGGGACAGCACCGTGCGACTTTGGGATGCTGGTCATGATGATGAGATCGAGAACCCAACCATGCTGCAAGTTGATGTCGCACGCGCACTGGACCGCTACCAAGACATCGACATCACCACGATGAACATGGCCCCCAACACTGGCGAATTCGCGGTCGGAACGCGTACGGGTGAATTGGTTCTCTACAGATGGGCCGGCAATCGGTTCTTTGGAAAAGACCACCATGAAGATCTGCCACCCAACCCGGGAGCGCTGACGGACATCAGCTCAAGAGCGGAGCCCGGCCTTAAGGAGGGTTTGCAGCCCTGGCAACTGTACGAGATGATGCAAGGTCCTATCACGGCCACTTGCGTCTCAGACGTGGGCTTCGTAGGCGTCGGCTCTGAGGGTGGCTTCTTTAGTGTCATCGACTTGCGTGGTCCCTCTGTCATCTTCCAAATCTCCATGACTGAATTCGCTCAGCAATCCAAGAGATCTTCTTTCTTGAAAGGGTCTCATGGGAACGCCCATGGAAAGGAGTGGCCGGTGGCCATTGAGTTTAGCGTCATGACGTTAGAAGGCGACAACTACTCTAGCATCTGTTGTTTTGTGGGAACGAACCTCGGCAAAGTAGCCACGTTCAAGCTGTTACCGTCTGGAAATAGCTACTCCGTCAAGCTAGCTGGCGTCCAACATTTTGATGGGCAGGTAGTGGCACTCTGCCCCATCCAAGCAGACTCTGGAAGACCTGCTTTTGCAACAGGTCCAATCGTAGCGGGACTGAGAAACGGGCAGCAGGTTAATGGTGTTCTCGTTGCTGGTAAGCCCCTTGGGTACGACACTTCTTGCGCTGGCTGATACTGACAAATGACTAGTGACACAAACCGAAATTCGAATCTTCAAGCCCGCCGGCGGGAAGGGCGCTTCCAAGACCTTTGACGACATCCTCTGCGATGCAGCCAACGTCACTGAGTTTGAGCTTCACGGCTTCGCCATTGTCGGTGTTTTTGGTGACCGAACGACTCGTGCATTCTCCATTCCTGGTCTCAAGGAAATTGGCAACGCGCCGCTTCCCATGCTCGATGGCAGTCGCACTCTATCGTCCGTAGTGACTCAGACTGGCGACATTTTCGGCTGGACTGGGCCCAGTGAGATTGCCGTTCTCAATGTCTGGGGTACTGGCAAAGATCTTCAGATAAGCGACGACATTCTCGTCAACCCCGAGCTCGTCACACCCCCGCGCCCTACAATCTCGAACATGCAGTGGCTCTCCGGCACGCAGCATATCTCCCCGACAGACCTCGACCTCCTCATCGACCCCAATCGCCCGCCAAGCCGGCGGATGATGGCCGCCGCGGCAGCTGAAGCGAGAGCTGCCCGCTCTGCAGGCCAGCCCGGCTCGAACAATGCGGGAGGATCTAACGAAGGCTGGGGCGATTATCTGACGAGGCAGCTTAACGAGCGCACGGAGAAGCTGAACATCATGAGCGATAACATGGATAGTCTGCAAAATCAGAGCCAAGGCTGGGCGGACGACGTTGGCAAATACATCAACAAGCAGAAGAGGAATGTGGTCCTGGGAGGGCTGAAGAGCAAGTTCTTTTAAACTAGCTACGACGAGATGAATAATGGCTGCTACGACCTCAAAGGGATATCTTGTGAGAGCTTTGTGTAACTTTAGGGCGTTAGGTATTGGAATTTCCTCATCCCCATTGATCAAAATGAGATGAATTTTCCATTTTGATAACAAAGAGTGTATGCCTCGTATTTATTCAAGCTGTCTCGATGACGAGCACTCTGCTGCAAGGGGCCGACTTGAACAATATTGCCCGAACTTGATCCCTTTGCCCCATTCTTTCTTCCAAGCCTGGTATGTCCCCTTTAAACCACCAAGCATCCACAAGCCTCCTACCAACTCCTCTGACAAAAATAAAGACAAACAGATATCCCGGCTCTTTCAGATCATTTGCCATTATTCATGTGCATTCGGTCGGTGGAATCGGCTCGCTTCGTATCGGTCGTATCGTTCAGATTGATCGCCGTGGTGGTACAGAGCTTTTCGGTCCGTAGCTTGTAAGCTTCGTGTTCTTCGTCTTGACGGCTCAAGACCCCAGGGGATTCGTCGTTCGGGCTATTACGTCAGCCGACAACTTGCGAGAATAGGAGTACTTACCTGATCGTCTATGCACTCCGCGGAATCTTGGGGTGTAGTCTTTTTCGGTAGATGCGCGTTTGATGATGTAGGGTTTGGTTCTAGGCTTCCGCGTCAGTATCAGGGGTTGGGGTGCTTACCTACTTATCGCTAAAGCGCCTGAGTACTTGATATTCTGTTGCAAGAGACCTGGAGAAGATTGATTTTAGCGTATTAGAGGGGCCTAGAGAGACTTACAGTCTACCTGGCCATAGTTGTGGTCTGATATGACGTGAATCGATGCGTGATGTCTGCCCTATGGTTAGTTTTGAAGAAGGGGAAGTAGGAGACTCACAGAATAAAAGATGACAGATGCAAAGCTAGGCTCGTAGTCACCCTGGAGTTGTTAGCGTGACGGGGGAGGGAGGACTTACGGATAACTTGAATACGGATTCTAAATGGCATGGGGACATCAAGTTCTAAATCCGTTTAGATACGAAGTAGGAAACGGAGGGTGACTTATGAGATGAAGACAGGTCGAATGCGGCATTCGTCTGTGTTAGTAAGAGCCTATGATTAGTATTCTACAAAAGGATGCAAGAGACTCACGTTCCAACTTGAAGGAATAGCATCGATTTCCAGAGGCGATGGTCCAAATTGCTGCCCAAGTTAGCAGAGGAGGGGAGGGAGAACGTACGCTGAAAGGTGACCCCCTTGAGGATCAGCCGTTGTGGCCCATAAGG